AGTCTATTGAACATTGTAGGGCTTAGCTTGCAGCTTCATTGCTGTTTTTCCCTCACTTTCCCTTATCGGTGACGAGCATGGTCACCAATCAGAACATGTTTTCCCATTGAGTCTTAGTCTTGGAAGGGGGTTTACACTGAGGGGACCCAGCCACTTGCCTTGATGTCTCCTGGGAGTTCCAGTTCTCTTAAAGAACAAAATATATAGCATTTGTTGTTGTGATTTTCCTCAAGAATCAGAATTATCATTGGTTAGTTTCTGGAACTGAAATGATATTCTGGATAACTCTCTAATAAGGAATTTGATTTTCTTTGAGAGGAATGAAATAGGTATCAAGTGTACTGTGAGTGTTGATACAGTTCAATATGACTTGTTTATGTATTGCCATCTACTCATTGAAGCAACGTGTGGTTTAGCATCTATTTTATAAGGCACAGACTTAGGTAAGAGTAAAATTACTGACTGGAAAGTTTCTGACATTATCCAGTTATGTTTTAATCCCAGAAAGGCCTTTCTACTCTGCAGAATACTATTTACTAAAGCGAGTTAAGTTTTCCTTAAGAACAAGACAGGGCTACATCCTATGAGCAGCAGCCACTGAATGACATGGATAACAAAACATATGAAATGTGAATCACCACAGCAGATGCAAGCTTTTAACAACTTTAATATAATTATAATTGGTATAATATGTCTTACAACAAATGTGGATACAAGGACATCAAATATCAAAGTAGTTACATGTCTTCCCATCTTCAAATGATGTTGGCTAACTCATCCTAAGTAAACAATCTGTCATTCATCTCTTGGTTAGAAATGCTACCAATATCATCTACCACTTTTAAAATCCAAGTCAAAGTGATACATTCATTTGCCAAAATGAAGGTTAAAGGCAAAGAAGGTGAATCAACGTGCAAATGAGCATCTGGCACAGTTATAAAATTCCTTTCCCAGATGCGAGGGATTGAACCATGCACCCTTGCAAGCAAGATGAAGGGCAAACAGAAAACATCAAGCCAACATCAAACCTAGCATGGACTCAGAAGACCCCAGGATGGTAAAGACCAGAAGTCAACTGTCCTTGATGCTTGTGTATCATCTGTACTATAACCTTGACCTTCTGGATCCTGTCTCAAGTGTCTGTAAGACCTATGTCCTAGGCACTCTCTCTTGTGGAGGTGACAAACTTTGTTCAAGGACTTAAGCATGGTTAGCCCTGCATTTGGTCAGCTGTACTGGGGTAGTCCAGAGCTGTAACAGTTGTCTGATGTGGCCACACAACACTTGCAGTTTCATAGATTTAAGTAGAAACAACACACCAGTATAATAGCAAACAAACTGAGATCACTTGTATATATGTAATACTTCAAATGTCTATAAATAATTTTCTCCAGAAACTGAAAACACTGTAGACATGATTTCATTAATCCTCACGGCACCTCTGTGAGGTAGTATGGGGTGAGGTCAATATGAAAGCATTGCTCCCATTTTAGAAAAGAAGAAACAGAAGTTCAAAGAGGGCAGGAAATTTCAAAGAAAACAGGTTGAATCCCCATCTCATGAAGTTACCATTTATTGTCTAGAAGAGGCTGCTCGTCTCCATACTGCACTGACATCCTCTCTAAAGCTTTGTAAGTAGTCCTATAAGCGGTTGATATGCGTGTGGTTCATTTCGGTTGACATGCGTGTGGTTCATTTAGATCTACTGAAAACTTTTCTCCTGGGTAGTCCTGAACAGACTTTTTCCCTGAGGTAAATGGTGTCAATTACTGGCCTATGTTTCAGATGTGTATATGTGTGTGTGTGTTTTAAGCAGGGTTTCAAATTGATTCATTCTGGTTTGATCCCTGCTAGCAACTTTAATTTCCACCCCAGATATACTGAGTCAGAATCACATTTTAACAAGATCCCTTATACAGAGTCAGAATCTGTATTTTAACAAGATCCCCTATCACCTTGGGGTGGAAATGCAAATTGTCAGCAGGGTACGGAACCAGAAATGAACTAGTTGGAAGCCCTGGTTTTAGGTTGTTGTTATTAAGTGCCATCAAGTCGATTCCAACCCATAGCAACCCTGTATAGGGTTTTCAATGAGCAGCTGGTGAGCTTGAACCACCGACTTAGCAGTTCAAATGGCTTTGCAGTCTGGCACATTAACCCACAGTGCCACACCAGGGTTTTAGGTAGCATTAGCAAAATATAAGTGCTAAATCTTTTGGGCGACTGAAAAGTAGAAAACACAGTTAGTTAAATAAAGTTCAACATATAGGTAGTCGGAGTCCTGGTGTGGTGCTGTGTGTTAACACACTGGACAGCAGGTTGGTTTGAACCTCAAGGTCGGCAGTTCAAGCTCATCCGCTCCATCTCAAAAACCCTATATAGGGTCACTATGGGTCAGAACTCATTCCATGGCATTTAACAACAACAACTATTGGTACTTTGTTTTAGCATAACTCAAAGCGTTGTTAGAGTTTTTACAGGCTGAATACATGTACTGTAGCTCCCCCTCTTTACTTTAATAACTTTTTCACCATAAAGATATTGATGTTAATACAAGCCACAAACCCACCCGGTACAGTTGCCGACTTTATGGTTTATAATTAGTCAGGGTTTCCTGGGCAGAGGCTGGTTCCTTCAACTCAGTGTTTATGACCAAACCCATATGCAGAAGTGTAACTCTCAAAAGGGATCTCAGGGACATCTTGTCAAAATGCTTTTGGTGGAGGGAGATAAAACGTATGGAGTGTCTTGTTTTTATTCACCTGGCCTTTGCCAAACTGAAAAGCCCTGCAAAGGTGATAAAGTTGGGAAAGAGGGATAACTATCCAAACTAATTACATCTAGTGGTAATTCTTGATCATTTTTCTGAAAAGATCCACTTAAAAAAATATTTATCAAGAGATATAATTTCTGGAAGCCCATTCCTCATGACTAACTTATGCTTCAAAATACCTCTAGGGGCTGTTCCTTCCCTTTTGGCACCTATGGAGTTTGGGGAGTAACAACTCATGCAGAATGTGGGAGGGCAGTTTGTGGAAAGTGGCTCTGCTCCCAACATCTCTGACACCAGAGAGATTGAGCAAAGTACTGCAATGGTGGGCTTCATGCCAGGACTTAGCTGGAACCGAGCAAGTGACAGGAGAAGCTAAGAGTCAAGTTTCTGTAAACTAAACAGGGCAGCAAATCCAAGTTTAGAAATAAAAAATCTGATACGGTTTCAAGTTCTTACTGACATTGAAGAATAATATAGTACCTTTGGAAAAAGGATCTGAAGTATGTTTTCTACTAGATGAAAGCAGGACATAAGATGCTGATTGCTAATAACATGTGGTCAATAGGAGGGCAGAGTGGTGCTGTGAAATAAAGCTGTCTAGCAAACACATAGAAACAAAAGGCAATCATGCATGCCAAAACAACCCACAAGCAACAAACTCAACACTTTCAATATAAAAATTTAATAAGTCATTTCATTTTGTTTTTAAAAAAGAATTCGTCTGTGTGCATCTTGTTCTATCATAATGAAACATAATAAATCAGGGTTTCTCAATCTTGGCACTATTGACATTTTGGGTGGGATAATTCTTTGCGGTGGTAGGCTGTCCTATACACTGTAGGATGTTTAGCAGTATACCCATTAATAGCATCCCCAATTTAAAAAAAAAAATGTCACCAGCATTGCCTAGAAAGATGATCAGTTCTTTCTCTGAATTTGCTATGCAGGATTTTAGATTATATACCCAAGGTATTCAGATATTAAAGGGAACAGAGTAAGTTAAAAGTATGGGGAAAATTAATGGATGTGATGGTATTGGTTTCCTATAGAAATGCCTCAGTGACAAATGCCAATATATTAGTACCTTTCTTAAAAAATACTATTATCCAAAGGACAGGAAGACAGTGAGTTAGTTACTTTACGGGCACCTTCAAGCAAAGTATGTTTCTAACAGTTATCAAAAGTTTAATCCCACTTCCCTAATAAGGTCCTAATGTATGTTACTCTCTTGCTTTCTCACCCTCTTCCACTCCTCAAAACACCCATGCCCATCTCTCCCTTTCTCTTCTATACCTAAGCTCACCTCACAGCTTTGTCCTTTGGAATCCCAACTCCAGGAAAGCTGTGGGCTGGAATTTCAGCTGACACTGAATGGAACTGGCATTCTTAGCTGAGATAGGCAGCTAGAAGGGGCAGAGGTATAAGGGAGCTCGCTGAGATCTCACAGCAACCTGCTCCTCTGTCCCTCAGCCTCAGGCCTCCCCTAGGGCACTTTCTATGTTCATCTTTCATTCATTAGACAGCTAAGAAGCTGGTATCCAGCATGTCCAGCTAAATGGGCATCCTGTCAAACACAACCAGATCAACAGAGATTAAAAAAGAATCCAAGAAACCCTGTTCTCCTTACATGAGGAGTGAATTCCTCCTAGTCCTCATTTCCTTTCCTCTCATTGATATTTAATGCAGTTTCCAAGAAAAAAGTTAAGAAATACCATGAACAAAAAGCTCCCCTTAAAGTAATCCCCAACAAAACTAACCCAGTTCCTTTTCCTTGGACCTGTAGTGGGCTCAGCTGCCTCCACCATGGAGGTCAGGCCAGGCAGCTCAAAGTTAACCCATTTCAGATGCAAATCAGCCTCTATTCACCTTTAAGTAGTGGTGCTTTTTGTATCAGAAAGGGGAACTGTAGCAGCCAGAGGAAAGGGAGGAAAACAAAAACAACCATACCAACAAAACAGGGCTTAAGACTGTCGTTCAAATGCGCATCAGGTACTTGTTATTAATTCTACTGGAGAAGCACTTATAAATAAAGAACAGTTATTCCTCATCCCAGTCCGTGGTCCTTTGTTAGGAGTCATCATAAAGAGGGTTGTTGTAGTTTCCCCAGGATCCATAGTCATGATCATCCAAAAGCCTTCCATAGGAGGAATGCCTGGTGGAGAAAAAGAAGAGGATTGTGGTTACTTTAGAGATGTTGCCCATCAGAAGAGAGCCCAGTGCATCTACAGCTTGAATTGAGGAGGCATGTGTGGAGCCCTGGTGTGGCGCTGTAGAAGAAGCACAGGATCGCAAGATCAATTTGAGCCACAAGGTCAGTGGTTCAAACTCACCAGTCTCTGCTGGGAAACCTTATACTGGAACTGACTCTATGGCACTTAACAACAACAATGAGGAGGTAGGAGGGAGAGTCCCTGAGAAGGACATCATGCTTAACAGATGGGTTCAAGCATGACAACGATTGTGAGGATGGCTCAGGACTGAGCAGTGTTTCCTTATGTTGTGCATAGAGTCACTGTGAGTTGGAACCAACTCGATGGCACCTAATAACAACAACTACATGGGAGTCTTGATGTAGCACTGTAGGATAAGCACTGCAATGCCAACCACAAGGTTGATGGTTCAAACCCAACTTGAACCACTCCTCAGAAACCGACTCCATGGCTATTAACAAGAATAACCATGGGGTCTATGGGAACGTTGTGGCTCTGTAGGATAAACACTGGGCTTGGAACCACAAGGGCAGTGATTTGAGCTCACCAGCTGCTCCATGGGAGAAAGATGTGGCTTTCCAGTGGAAACCCTCTACAGGATTGCTATGAGTCCAAACTGTCAGCACTTAACAACAATGGGGTCTATGAGAGGCAAGGGGCAAGGACACAGTGCTCCAGTAGGACAATCTGTTGTAACAGAGAAGAACCATGAACCAAGGAGGCCCCAGTCTACAAACACCTTATGACTATGGCTGATCCAGTTGGGAGCCCACCTGGCCCCTTCTTTTGAGATTGGCCGCGCCGTATTTCTTCTCTCCTCAACCACTGGTGCTGGAGAAGAAGGAAGAGATCCCATATCCATAACTATTTAATGAGAAAGGGAAGGTTGAATACCTGTATTCTGTCTTAGGACCTGGACTTAATTTTCCTTAAAATAAAAATGACGCACCACGGCCACTGTGTTATCACCACTTCTCGTGACATCTATGTAAGTGCTTCACAATTTATGAAGTATTTCTATATTCAGTTTTTATTTGTTCCTCAGAATAAAGCCATGAGGCAGGAATTGTTTATCCTTATTTTGAGGGACAACGTGGCTGAAAGACATCAAACTGGCTTTCCTAAAGTCACCTAATTCGGATCCTTGCTGCCTGGTTCCAATGCTCTGAGCTTTTAGGGAGTCTGATTTGACACCTTGGTTCAAGGATAAAAAAACAAACAACAAACTCACTGCCATCAAGTCAATGTGTACTCATAGCGACCCTGCAGAACTGATTCTTAGGGTTTTTGAGACTGTAAATCATTACAGGAGCAGATAACCTCATCTTTCCCCAATGGAGAAGCTGGTGGGTTTGAACTGTCCAATGCTTATTCCACAGTGCCAGGGTTAAACAGGCTTTGGTAAGTCATTCTGGGAACCTGTATCACAATATTATTTCTATAAAAAAATTGAAGTCATCATCATACTTTAGTTCAAAACCTCTGAATAGCTCCTTATCTCTGAGTAAATATGGAAGTCATAGAAAGGTTTGCAGAGCCCTATAGCATCGAGGGCACACAGCAACCACAGGATCTGGCCCTGGTAACTTCTCCTGCTTTAGGGCCTTTCCTCTGGCCAGAACAAGTTCTCTAGATAACCACATCTAACTACACTTCCTCATCTCCTTCAGGTGCTAGCTCAAATGTTCCCTTCTCTATGAGGCCGTCCTTAACAACTCTACTTAAATTTGCAAGCCCACCTCTAAGCACTTTCTGCTTTATTTTTCTTAGTGCTCATCACCTTCTAACATACTATATAATTTACTTATTAGTTTTGTTATTGCCTCTCTCCCCTAACTAGATGTAAGTCCTATGTTTATGTTAAGTGCCATTGAGTTAGTTCCGACTCATAGTGACCCTTAATAGAGTTTCAGAGGAACAGCTGGTGGACTGAGCCACAGACCTGTGGTTAACAGTCCAGTGCTTATCCTACCTACATAGTTATACCAGGACTCTGATATAAGCTCTATGAGGGAATAAATTATTTGCCTCTTCTGTTTTACTCTTGGCTATTGCTCTAGCACCTATAGGGATATCTAGTATATAATAAAAGCTCAATAAATATTTGTTGTTGTTGTTAAGTGATGTTGAGTCAGTTCTTACTCATAGCGACCCTGTATAGGGTTTTCCAAGGAGCAGCTGGTAGGTTTTCGCTGCCAACCCAGTACAGTGGTGAGCCTATAGCCTTTTATCAAGATTCAATGAATACTAGTGATTGGAAAAATACACCCACTCTGTACAACAAGATGGGAGTATCCTGGAAAGAGATATGGTCATTTGAAAACAAAATCTAATGACAGGATTGAGAAATCACCAGAAAATGAGCATCTGGTGCCTCTAAGGTTCATGCTAGCGTGTGAATTATCACACCTTGTCACTGTGAATTGTGTCTGCAATCTATAGTACAGAAAACATCCCCCACCTCTATTATATTTTCTCTCAGCTAGATATGAAAATACAATTGGAAAGGCAGAAAAAGCATTTTGCTATGCTTGTATCTGTTGCTAAAATAATTGTTGGTCTTCTGAAGGTTTTTTATGTTTGTCAGGTATTTGAAGAGATGGTTTACTACAAAGAACCAGGACCTTGCTGGGCTTGTATCAAACACTTAGCTTTCAGAATTTGACTTAGATCCTCATGGGCGACTCAGCTGACCCAATCTATAGACTTGGGAACTTGAGGATGCTTCACCACATACTTTACATTTTCTGTGGCACTTACGCACTTCTGTGGGAGTGGGAAGGAAAAGGACTATGAATAGCAACCGAGACACACTACTGATCTTTGGATCTATAGGAATAGTTGTAACTAAGTGCCCATAGCAAACCCTTTGTAGGGTTTCCAAGGAGCAGCTGGTGATCTTGAACCACTGAACTTGCAGTTCAAAGGGCAATTGGTTTCTAGCCATTTATAAGAAGGTGAACAAAGGTCATGAACCATCCATCCTCACCGCTCCCCAAAATTTAAAACTTCCAATTATAGTAAAATATTATGCCAATATGGTTGAGAAATTGAAGCTGTAGAATGAACAAGTAAAACCCTGGGAATTGCAAGACGGCAATTCAATCTAAGTTTCAACATGACTCACTGTTGCAAGCTTGGCAAATGCTTACCCAGTGTTCCTTTATTGATAGAACACTACCATGCCAGTTTAACTTCTGACAGTATTTTTGTATATATCATATACTTTTATATAAATTATTAGTTTGGTTAATAGATATACATTCTGGAACCTGTTTTCTTAACCTCTTGTTTCTTCATGTAGAAAATGGAAAAACTTCTTATTTTTGAAATTACATTCAGGTTGCTGAGAGGATTCAATGAGGTAATGCATATGAAAAGTCTGGCACGTATTGAATGCACAATAACTGCTGGCTAGTACTGCTTTTTAATTTTTATTATAATGAAACTTACACAAGCACATGGTAATTCTGAAAACAAAAAAAGGCATTGAATGAAAAGTGAGCTTCCCTCCCACTGCGGAGTCCTGAAACTCCGCCATAGACATAAGGCTACTTTTTTCTCATATGGTTATTATGTGAATTTTTACAAATTACTAATATATTGGCCTACAGTCATCATTTTAAAAATCACTTGGTAGTCAGGTTTTTAACTGTCGATGGTTATTTTAAGCAAGACTATTTGATCAGTGTGTTGCCTGAATCTGCTGTATCATAAGAAGCATCTACTGTACAGACGCTAATAAAATATAAGAAAATGCTGGTCTTACATTTCACCTTTCTTGGCCTTCCCATAATCTGAGTGAATAGTGAGCTGAGCAAAATGCTGATAAGTGAGGGAAACAATATGAATACACCCAAATTAAGAATGTAGTTGTTTTTAATACATTAATGAATCTAAACAAGATGAATTGGGTGTACTGGGATGAACGCCAGGTTTGGATGAATCCTGTACTACTGTAGAAGTCAATAAACTTTTTGATTTTTGGTGAGGAGAAGGGAATAATTAACTAATTAAAGAGCATTTCAAACAATCTGTCTAGGTCAGAACTTTTTAAAACATATTTTGGAATAAGCAACATTTTTGGAGGCTAAAAGTTTAAAAAGTTCCTTCATGTTTTGCTTCCTTAATTTTTTAGAAACAGGAAGTGTTAGTGCTGATAGGTGTTTGGGGATCATCTGATCAATCTCTTTACTCCCAAGCTTCAGAAAGTGGGGTCCAAGGGATTTAGAAGTTTTTGTCAATCGCACTGAAAACAAGGTCTCCTGGCTCAGCCCACAACTCTCCCTCTATGATGCGACACATTTAAACTTCATTCTGAATATGAGTTTATACTAATGACACCATTGTGAGGTCCAAATAACTTTATTTACTAAACCGCTCAATAAAGATTAGAAAACTCAGTAGAACTGTGTTTTCTATTCATGTGCCTTGGCTCCCCTTAATGGTAAACTCCTTAGAGGGAGACTATATCTTACTTATCTTCTAACTGGAGGAACACCTAATATATTGTTCTTAGCATAATGGTTATCTTATAAATATTTGATAAGTACTTATATCCAGTGGCATATATGTGGTTTGCTTGGTCATTTCCTGCAGGGACAGTATTATGTTCCATGGTAACTCATTATGCACTATGTTGTTGTTAAGTCCCATTGAGTCTGTTCTGATTCTTAATAACCCTGTGTAGGATTTCTGAGGAGCATCTGGTGAGTTTGAACGGTCAACATTGTGGTTCAAACTGACCTTGCTGTCCAATGTATTATCCTGCAGAGCCATAACTGTGACAAAATGAAAAAGTTTTATTCAAGGATTCCAAGAGTCAAAGTCATCATTTTGACTTTAAAGATAGAAGTCTGATTAACTTTTCCCCATGCAATGACATGACTTTTACATACTTAGCACAGTGCTCTGAGTCCAAGCTAATTTATGGCACTGAGAG